CTCCGCTTGTGTTTTGTCTTCTCCTCCGCGAGACCTTCCCATTTTGCCGAGTTGATCTGCGGACACTTCAGGGAGGTTTTTAGGGTATCCTTGTAGTGGATAAGAAGAAGAAGAGGAAGAAGCGATCGCTGGAACAAGGGCTTTATTTGCCTGACTGTTCGGATTCTCACTTGAAACCCACCATCAGAGACGGTGGTAGAAACGGGTGATTCGCGCACAGGAAGTGCAGTGTTTATAGGATGCCATCGCTATGCTACCGCATACCTATAGTAATTGACCGCACTCCCCTTCCTCAATAATTTTTGTCCGCTGGTGTTCCAATTACTTGATGGCCGGCATGCAAGTTGCTAATTGCCGAAATGTCATCACCCGTGTTGGATGCTAGCGTGATGATTGCTCGGCCATCTGGCTCACCGGCTCGCGCGCTCCTCGAGTGGTCAATTGCCTTGGCCAGCCTATGCCTCAGCACGGAATATGGAGTGGGGATGTCGTTGCACTTGTTGATAGACTGAGGTCCCGTGAACCATGACTCAAGCAACTCGCGACTCACGCGATTATCCCCTCTCGCGAGAATTTCGGCCTCATCGAACTTTAATGTGTGACAGGGTCTCGTCGAATGGGCCGCGAACTGAGATTTGGCGTCATTTCTCTGCACCGCTGTCGCGCGTTCGGCAATTCGCGTTCGGGTCTGTCTTTCGGTTTTTTCCGACGTAGTTGCTTTGTCCACAACTGCACCAGATTTGGTAAACGACTCCAGATGTTTTCTGCCATGGCAGTGGGTGTTTTGGTCGCATCACCTGACATCTTATGGTGGCTTCCGGTCTGTGTGCAACCATCCTATAAATACTGCAGCTCTCTGTGCTCGAATTACCCGTTTCTACCACTGTCCCTGATGATAGGTTTAACTGAGAATCCGATAATTCAGGCGAATAAAGCCCTTGTTCCAGTGATCGCTTTTTCTTCTTCTTATCCACTACAGTTTTCTAGAACTCGCATCTTCGTTTGTATCCTTGTAGTGCCGGACCTGGCCTCCTTGCCATCGTGGACGCGTCGCAGATCTCCAAAGAAGAGTCGTCTGGGTAGCCTCACGTCGTCCATCCGTACGAGATGGCTGCTCCAACGGAGTTGTAGTTATCCCAGCATAACGACTATTCAGGTCTCTGCTTCATACAGCAACGTCGGTAGGATATCGACCTTGTAGATCTTCAGTTTCGTGTTGAGTTGAAGAGCATGACGTTCCCAAACTGTATTTTGAACACGACCGAAGGCTTGACTGGTCTTGGAAAACCGGCGGGCCACATAATCGTTGATTTTGGTGCCTCGGTAAAGGGTGCAGCCCAGATATGTTAAGTCCACCAATTACGGTTGGGCGCCGTAAACGTTTTTTTTGCGGTCGGGTGGGGGGTGATGCATGACCATCATGTCGTCAGTTCCATGAATGTAGAAGAGAGGTTGGTCCGCATCTACTGACACTTTTCCTAAAGTTGACGGGCGCCGAAGATCATGCCCGTGGTCCCACGATGACGACTGAAGCCCCATCGGCCTTCCGGCAAGAGGCCCTGCTCCAGATATTTGTTCAGGCGGTTCAGAATAATACGACCGATGATCTTTCTGGCGATATTCAACAGAGAAATGCCTCAGTGGTTGTCGCAGATTTGGTGGTTTCCTTTCCGCCTGTAGAGGTGCACGATTCTTCGCATCCTTGAAATCCTTCGGGACTTCTTCTCGACGCCATACCCCCTGGAATAGGTCAGTCAGATGATCCATGCGTTGAGAACCATCGTGCATGTAGATCTCAGTAGGAATCGCGTCCGATCCGGGCGCTTTCCCGCTGGAGAGTTGTTGCACGGCCTTGATGGTTTCGCGAAGAGACGGCGGGAGATGGAGGTCGACGGTGGTCTCCACTTGAGGCGTCGGAGATGATGGAGGGGTGGTTGAGTACGCCTCTGAAGCGTCCGGCCCAACACTACAGTATTTGTGTCTTTGTGGCGGTCAAGGATGTGAGATCAACTTAAACCACGCACAGTAAGTTCGTTTCGTCTACTGTCAGAAGTCAGGGAACTGTGAGGACTAGTTTATTCTGTACACAGGGCAGGTTGCCGTAAGTTGGCTGTTTGCTTGCAACAGAGATAAGCGTCCGTTCACGGAGAGCGTCAGTCGCGTTGTGTCGTTTACGCGGGTGTAAGTGTCTAGGTCAGCAGGAGGCGGTGACTGTCTGAGTGTTGGTCGTGTGATTGGACAAATTAGGGGAGGAATGGAGGGGGCATACTCACAAGGCCTCATGGGTATCAAGCCAGAGCGTTCGATGCGCGTGAGGTGATACTAGTTTGTGAGGGCAGCCGGATGTCACTGCAGCTGGACAGGAGGAGCGGGGGGGGTCGTGTGTCAGCGGCCTGTCAACGATTGTCGCCGCCATCGACCGACAAAACGGAGCCGGAGAAAAGGGGTACTCGAGCGGCTGCTACAACTCCTCCCCCAGACACCAAACTAAGTGAAGGCGTCGACATGCTAGCCAGCCACAAACCTGTCGGGCCAGTGGACGTGACGACCAGATCGTGTGCGGCGAACCGGAGGGGGGCTGTCGCCAGTAGGTGGATGCATCACTGTTTGCGGCGGGTTACAATGTTGGGGTGAAGAATGGTCACTGTTGTCGACGTACGCCGACTTAACGCGATCAGCGCTGGCTGTGTCGGTCTTGCCGTTGCGATCGATGAAAACATCTTTGTCAGATCGACGAGGGACTTTATACGGCCCCTCATTGGGTGGTTGGAGTGGTCGTCGGACAGCGTCATGCCGAAACCAGACGAAATCGTACTTATCCAGGTCGGGAGGGATGAAAAAATTGGCCGGTGACGCCCGAGGGGACGTTGCGCATCACACTACGTAATCGCTCCACATAACTGCAAGGTTCGAAACATGTTAGCGTGTTTGAAGGAGACACTAACGGACTGGGCAGTCTTAGGGAAGCTCCGTAGACAAGATCAACTGCATTGCAACCGATGTGGACCTTGAGAGTAGAACGGAGGGACAACAGCACCAGGGGAAGGTGATCAGACCATCAGGAAGGATCGGGCTGGGCCATAAGGGAAGTCTTGAGCTGTCGATGGAAGCGTTCGACGAGACCATTTGCTTGAGGGTGGTACGCTGTTGTTCGGATTCGGTTGGTACCGAGAAGGGATGTGAGTTCGCTAAACAGCGTGGACTCGAATTGGGATCCGCGGTCGGTGGTGACAGTCGCAGGAACTCCAGAATTAAGCACCCAATGAGTCAGGAAAGCTTTTGCAACGGTTTCGGCACTGATGTCCGTAATGGGCGCAGCAACCGGCCACTGAGTAAAGCGGTCAATGCATGTCAGCATATAGGCAGAACCGTTAGATAGTGGAAGCGGACCTACCAGGTCAATGTGCACATGACTGAAGCGTGCATCAGGGGTGGCGAAAGTTCCTGGCGGAGTAATAGTATGCCGATGCGTTTTGGCTCGTTGACATGGTAGACAGGAGCGGGTCCAACGCCGTACATCCCGGTTGATGTTGGGCCAGACGAATCGGTCGGTGATGAGTTTCACTGTCGCCCGGACTCCAGGGTGGGATAGATTGTGAAGAGCGTTGAACACTTGTCGTCGTAAAGTTGTTGGGACAAAAGGACGTGCGTGTCCGGTAGCAAGATCGCACGTTATGGTGCCAGTGCCAGTGGGAAGATGGACATCTTGAAGACGTAAAGAAGAGTCCTCGTGGCGGTATTGGGAGAGATCGTCATCTTATCGTTGAGCCTCTGGCATGAGCGTGAAGTCTATGGCGTCTGTTGTGATGGAAGCCATCTCGATTCTTGAAAGAGCATCAGCAACCACATTTTCCTTACCATTGACGTGTTGGATGTCGTAGCAAAACTGTGAGATGAAACCTAGATATCGAAATTCACGGGACAAGTATCCATCGGCAGAGGCCCTCAGTGCAAAAACGAGTGGCTTGCGATCTGTTAGAACAACAAATTCGAGAAAATGCCGGAAGTGCCGGATGGATAAGTAGACCGCGAGGAGTTCTCGGCCGAAGGCACTGTAGCGGGTCTCTGCTGGGCCGGGCTTCCTCGAGAACAAAGCCAGAGGCTGTATAACACCACTAACAGTTTGCTGAAGTGATGCACCAACGGCAGTGCTGGAAGCGTCTGTCATGAGAGTTAGTTGGGCATCAGCTCGGGGGTGGGCAGGCAGTGTTGCGCTCGCAAGTGCGACATTGACGTCATTGAAGGACTTGAAGGCCCCCTCGGTCATCGCCAGTGTCTTCCTGTAGCGATCCAACAAGCTGTTGAGTGGCTGCAGTATGGTGGCACCATGGGGGAGAAAACGGTGATAGTAGTTCATCATTCCCAAGAAGCCTCGTAGTTGGTTGATGGTTGGTGGAACAGGGAGCGTTGATATGGCCGAAACCTTTTCTGGGACGGGGTATATCTCATCAGAGTTGATTTTGTGACCCAGGAAGCTTAGGCTGGGGACTGCAAACCCACAGTTAGCAGCATTGATTACAACGCCGAAAGAGTCGAGTCGTTCGAGTATTTGTCGAATATGAACCCCGTGTTCGGCAGCGTCAGTGCTAGCCACCAGCAAATCATTAATGTAGGCGTAGACGAAGTGGTCAATAAACCTCTGAAAGTTTTGAGTGGCGTTCCCCAGACCAAAGGACATACGAGTGAGTTTGAACAACCCAAAGGGAGTGGTCACTGCAGTTTTCGGCACATCACTGGCCTCGATTTGGATTTGGTGGTAAACACGAACAGGGTCAAACTTGGAGAATATCCGCTTAACATGCAGCGAAAGAGTGGAGTCTTGGATATGCGGGATGGGATACTGGTCAGGGACAGTCAATGAGTTCAACACCGATAGTCACCACACGGTCACCAGTCACAGCTCTTCTTTGGGACAAAATGGAGGAGTGATGCCCAGCAGCTGTCGGACTGCCGGATGATGCCGAGCTCAAGCATGTGTTCGAACTCTGCCTTGGCAATCTTTAAGCGGTCCGGAGCAAGACGACGTGGTCGGCAAGATTTGGGAAGTCCGGTGTTGGAAATGTGGTGAGAGACTGTGCGTTTGATGTCCACTTCATGAAGTGAGGGGTTGGTCAGGCGTGGAACTGCCTGAGGAGTGAGTGGAAAGGACAGTCCGAGATGGGCATAACAGTGAGGGGGTTGACACAGGGATTCACATCGTATTCACAACGGGCATGAAGGTTGGTGATGCAGTCGACGAGTCGGCGATTCCTTAAATCTACTGCTAGATTGAAGTGAGCTAGGAAGTCGGCACCTATGAGGGCGACGGAAACGTCGACAATATTGAAAACCCATCGGAAAATCCGACGAAAGCCCAAATCAAGTGCGATGAAACGCTGTCCAAAGGTAGGGATGCTGGAGTTGTTGGCAGCTGTTAGACAAAAAGAGTATCTTCTGACACTTTTCCTATCGTTGACGGGCACCGAAGATCATGACCGTAGTCCCACGATGATGACTGAAGCCCCATCGGCTTTCCGGCAAGAGGTCATGCTCAAGATGTTTGTTCAGGCAGTTCAGAATAATACGACCGAAGATTTTCTGGCGATATTCAATAGAGAAATGCCTCAGTGGTTGTCGCAGATTCGGCGGCTTCCTTTCCGCCTGTAGAGGTGCACGATTCTTAGCATCCTTGAAATCCTTCGGGACTTATCCTTGACGCCGTATCTCCTGGAAGAGCGTAGTCAGATGATCCATGAGTTGAGAACCATTGTGCGTGTAGACCTCAGTACGGATCGCGTCCGATCCGGACGCTTTCCCGCTGGAGAGTTGTTGCACGTCCTTGATGGTTTCGCGGAGAGACGGCGGGAGATGGGGGTCGACGGTGGTCTCCACTTGAGGCGTCGGAGATGATGGAGGGTTTTAGATGAAAGATTGTGAACAAGGACGCCCGATGAGTTGTCGGGGCTTGGTACTCGAAGTTTCTCCAATTTTATAGATAACTCCTTGTTTCTTTTGGCACGTACTTTCTGAGCATGTCTGACGATTGTCTGCTCTATATTCTTTGATTCTTCACCGACAGTTCTCCAGAGAAAACACTTAGATTGGTCCATCTCTACATTGTAGCGTTTTAGTCTTTGATGGCAGACAAAGGACGTTCAACAGTTGTGCTAGACAAATCGGATTACCAGAACAAGGTACAGGACTTACTCGAAGACCAGCATTCATACAAACAATGCCATGCCAGGGAAATGAAAAATCTAATCACCCGGATAAACAAAAGCCTAAGAAATCTCAAAGCCAAGGGGGCGATTACACCCAACGACTGGTTCTCCATGAAACCCACTGACACCGCCACTGCTCGTTTTTACGGCCTACCGAAGGTACACAAGGCAAATGTCCCACTCAGGCCAATCGTATCCCTTCGTGGCACTCCGACGTACGGTTTGGCAAAATGGATGTTCGGTCGTCTTAAGTTTTTGGCCGAAGGCTCACCAACAACAGTTGTATCGGCGTATCAATTCCTCGAACGCATAAAACATCTGAGGTTAGAGCCAGACGAGTCCATGGTATCCTTTGATGTCGTTTCGCTCTTCACCTCCATCCCACAGCAACTAGCGATAGATGTTGTGGACCAACTACTGGCAGAGCGTTATGAGGAGAGAGATAGACCTCTGAAGTCTGAGCATCTGCTCGAGCTTCTGCGATATTGTCTCAAGACCTATTTCACTTTCGACGGACAAATGTACGAACAAATAAAGGGCACTCCTATGGGCTCCCCTATATCAGGCCTAATTGCTGAAGTAGTCCTTCAACGGGTAGAACACTTGGTGTTCACCAAATATCAACCAAAGTTCTGGGGCCGCTATGTCGATGACACCTTCGTCGTTGTCAAAACAACTGACATAGAACACCTAAAGGGACTACTGAACTCGGTTGACCCGGATATACAATTTACGATGGAAGCGGAAACAAACAACCAACTGCCCTTCCTTGACGTACTTGTGCGCTGGTGTACCACTGGACAGCTGCAAATTACAGTATTCCGAAAATCCACCGACACGAGACAGATCCTACACTTCAACAGCAACCATCCACTGTCTAACAAACGTAGTTGTGTCCGCACTCTATTCCAAAGAGCCGAAACACACTGCAGCACACCAGAAGATAAAAGGGCCGAACGATTGTACCTTGTGGACCTATTTGCAGCCAATGGTTATCCCAGGCATTTCATCGAGAGAAGCAGGCGTTGGGCGCCCAGACAACGGCCAAATGAGCAGCAACCCGAAGTCTGGAGGGCCATTCCTTACGTTAAAGGGGTCTCTGAAGCGGTCTCGCGACTGTTACAACCCACCAGAGTAGGCATAGCCCATCGACCACAAGCAACAATTCGACGTCGCCTAATGCAACCTAAAGACCCATTGCCACCCGCTGAAACCTCAGTTGTCATCTACAAAATAAATTGCAATGAGGGCGACTGCAACTATGTGGGCGAAACTGGGCGGAAATTGCAAACTCGCCTACAAGAACACAAATCGGCCACTCGGAGGTTAGACCCTAACTCTCAACTAGCAACACACGTTGGGGAAACGGGGCATACTTTTGACCTCCAGAGGGCTACCATCTTAGGCCGAGGCAACACAAAAACAGAACGGCTAACTCTCGAGGCGTGGTTCTCCGATGCCCACTCTATCAACAGGCATCTGGACCTTCCTGCAGCTTACAAAGTCCTACGTCATCACAACCGTAGAGCTCAGGACCAAACAACCACACCGGACTTAAGAAGACAGCACGGAGATAGCCCGACGCTGAGCTTACTCGGTGAGGAAGAACAAGAACCGCCAGACCGACCGCCCGACTAAAGTCCAATCAGCTCCCCTCGACGGAGTGGTGACTCATAAAGTGCACAGGCAAAAAACGCCCGTCAACCATTTCCTGAGAGGCCGACGCAGCGTGAGGAGAGAGAAAAATCGATCAGCATGAGGCCGGCCAACACAGCTTGCCACTTTAAGTTAACTTTCTGACCGATTAGGTGCAGTTTACGCTTTGACAATGAAGAGCCGACCCAGCTCTTTGAAACGTCAGCAGTTAAATAAACCTGTTCCGGAGAGCCAATTTTCTTCTTCTTATAGAAAATATCCCCGATTAAAAAGTTGGATTTCATCTATACAAGGGGCACAATTAGTTAACAATATGAACGCCGAGTTTATCCCCCTATCCTAAAGTATACTACTAGTTGCCAGTCGGCAGGTAACGAATATTACGCTGTTACTCGCTCTGGTTGGTGGACTACGGCCCAATCATTCATGCATAAAAACTTCGGCCTGTGAATATGCCAATCCCAGGCTCTTGTTGTAAAGAAGATGAACACGCGATCTCTGGGACAGCACGCGTATAAGTCTGAGTTTTCGGTCTCATACAGGAGGCCATCTTCAGGGACTGTGTAAAAGGGGCTCCCAATGAGCAGTTTTTGTAGTCAAACCATGAAGCAGAGGG